ATGCACAGAAAGATGACAGACCCGGAAACAGCTGGAGTAGCGTTTATGTGGGACTGCCTCAAGACGCAGCTGGAAAACGGACGATACGTACGGAATTATCCGGTTCCGGAGTGGTTTACGTCAATCACTGACGGTACTGCTGTTGACATTGACAAGCTGCGTGCTCGGATCAAGAAATCGTTAGATGAAATCAGGCCAGGGCAGAAGCTTGTTTTGATACACTTGGATGAGCACAAGAAGATGTGGGAAGGCGAAGATGCCCATGCCATAGAGTTTCGCCGTGCTGCGGTACAAGCCCTGCTATCAATCCGCTTTGTGAGAGTGATTCTCACATTCACCGAGCCGCCAAGCTTGCCGCCGGATGATGTCAGAAACACGTCAGCTTTAGCTCGAGTTGCCTTGCCGTTCGCGAGGGCAGCAGCAGACAAGGTTGCGCTGCATTTTTGTCCAGACATTCTCGGCATGTATGGGAAGCCTGTGAACTGGACAGCTAGCGAGCAAAGGGTGTGGGCATGTTGCTTGCTCTGGGTTAGTCTCTGCATTGATGCCGAATCACCGACTGCATTGCACCAACAAGACTCTCAACTCCGAGAAGGGTTTTCGTCGCTGACCACATGGCTGCGGAATGGCGCAAAGAAGCCAAAAAGCCAGTTCCTTGCCAAATTCGGAGAAACGTTTGAGAAAGTCCTAAGCTGGGACAAGGGCCAGAATCCGTTAGATACCGAGATGGTCAGACAACTGGTGGCTGGCATTAAAGATGCAGATGCACCTCAAGAAGAGGTAATGCCAACACTGGTTTCTGTTTCCGGGCAGCGCCTGTGCTTACCACTGTTCCGATTGCTCTACGTCCAGCCACTAAACCAAACCGAACTGTCATCATGCTTTTGGAAATCTCGCGATGTTTTTCTTCAGGACGTGAGAAAGGCTCCCGCCCAAGTCTTGGTTGGATCACCTTTGGAGCGCGCAGTTTTGTGTGCCCTGACATGCAGGGATTCTCTGCGTCTACCAAATGGCCGCAGTATCATGTTGTCCTTTGAGCAGCTCGAGGCAGGGAGGCTTTTCGAGAAAGTGTCTGCAACAGGTTCAGAACTTCAATTGGCTCGTGCGCTTGACAGTCTCACACCCGATACGCTGTACTACGATGGACTGAATGGTACGGAGCGCCACCCATTGGCGGACATTTGGTTTTGTGCAGCTCCCAACTGGCTAGTGCTGCTTGACTGCGGCGGCACGAAGAAGAAGGCCAGAAAGAAGATGTCGGCAAAGAGCCGACAAATCTCCCAACTCGTCGATAGTGGTTGCCTTTCTGGCTGGAAAGTTACGATGTTGATTTTTGCACCTGCTGCACCCAGTGCGACCATGCCATCCTCAACGGCGCTGTCCGATGATGTTGATATTGCCATCGTCGCTGGGAGTTTGGCAACTGAATGGCTTGGTTCATGGTCTCAGCTCTGGCAATACCTCCCGGACGACGGCTGATCCACACGAAGG